GTATGGAGTGTTGCTAGAATAAACATTGCAAACATGGATATTTTATCAGCCACTGTCCCCCATGAATACCTGATTTGGTCAATTTTATGTATGCAACACCAGTGTTGTAGGAAGAGTCGATTTATCTTTAAAATCGGGGAAACAAATGCTTTCGACAGAGAAGTTCATTGCTAAGATGTGTTTTGTAGCAAAGACCAGTGTAAAGTGCTTTTCAAACGTTTACACACTCCTGTTAAAATACCACACTGGAAAAACGATCTAGAAATAAGTAAAAATGTCATAAAATAAGTGTTTACTTACCCTTAATTTTAGTAGGAAAATGAGATGATTTGCCAATCTAATCAGTATATTTGCTTTGATATTTAGATAAAATGAATTTAAATAAGACAATACAATTGTGTTTTCTCATTTTAAATGTAAATTGTCTTGTTCCAATGGCAAAATATCTCTTTTACCTTCTCAATTCAAGAACAAATTAACTTATTTTAAGAAAAAATGACTAATCTAGATTTTGATTTTTTCCAGTGCGGGTTTTTGCAAAGTAAAGGGTCTGTAAAAGGATGTGAAAATATTTTAAAATCTGTGAGTAAAACAGGTAAGAAAGTAAAATAACCCAGTTCTAAGTGTGAATCCTGTGATCTAATCATTTGTTCTAGATTTAATATTTACATTCTTCCCATATCTTGACTTTCCAACCACATTGTGAGAACATCCTTCTTCCACGGCCCCTACTAGTGAGAGCACCACCTTTTTGTTTTTCCAAATTTGGTTTTTAACTTTTGCCAAGTGATTCCAAAATGTACAATTTCTTTTTCTGTACTTATTGTTTTGATTTAGATGCACTGTCTTCCTAGACTGATTGCAGAGCTGAAAAATAAAATCTCTCTTTAGCCTTTTAACATTCTCCCAGCTTAAACTTTGAAGCTGGGAGTATTTGTTGCCCAACCCATCCAACAAAGCTGTGGCCTAAAAGTGTTATTTTATTTGAAAAAAGTGTTTGGTGTTTTTCTTTACCAACCACCCACCACTGAGTTTAATGCACAGATGTTGATTACTCATTACTGTCCCTTATTAAAGCAACATAAAAGTAGATGTATGCAGTTTTAGTATGCACTTCACAGTCCCACTCACCTGCACATATTCATTTTGAACACGGAGCCTGTCATCACTCAGGATCTTATCCACTGTCACTGGCTCCTCATCTTTCAAACCTTTAGGATAAGTTGCACTTTTAAGTTCTGTTTATTCCAAG